CACCGATGAGCATGAAGTAGCCGCAGTACTTGGGAGACCCGAGAGGCCGACCGACGCCGTGATCGCGAGCGTGCGGTAGATCTCGCCGTACGGCGCCGTGATGACGTCGCCCGGGATCGTAAACGCTTGGTTCATGACGACCCACACCGTCGGGACAATGAGGCACGACATGCACGCGCCAAAGATCTGCGCGACAATCATCGACTTGGCCGACGCGCCGACGAGGTAGCCGGTCTTGAAGTCCTGCATGAGGTCGGCGGCCTGCGAGCAGCCAACAATGACCATCTGGCAGAGCAAGAGCGACGCAATGATCGAGCCGTCTTCCGACCACGAGCCGATGATGAAGAGGATGAGCTTGCCGACGGCGCTCGAGATGTTCCAATCCGTCATACCGACACCCAAAAAAGATACCGATGGCGAAGATCGGGATGAGGAGGCAGCAGACGAGAATCTTGTACCAATGCACCTCTTCAAAGACGACCGAGATGACGACGACCGAGACGGCAGCAAAGATAAGGAGGCCGCTCACCCAGAGCCACGCCGGGATGTGCACCGAGTCGAAGATCTTGTCGAGGTACGCCTGGCGCTGCGTCTCCGTGATCGAGTTGGCGCCCGACGTCTTCGGGTCCTCGGCTTCGGTCGTCTCCGGCGTCTTCTTGTTCATCCACGACTTGGCGAGGATGATACCAATGTTGACAATGCTGTAGAGCGCGTCGACGCAGATGATCGCGACGGCCGTGAACGTGTAGTAGCCCTTGAGACCCGTGACGTCCTTGGTCTCAAACCAGTCGTTGAGCTTGTACGCCTTGAGGTACGGCGTCATGATGGCCGACGCGACGATGTTGCCGAGGAAGATCGAGTACATGATGCGGAACGGCAGCATGAGCGCAATGGCGTAGGTGCCCGGCGCCCAGTCGAACGTCCAGCCAAAGCCCGCGGCCTTCATGCCAAAGATCGGGAACGAACCAAGACCGTCAAAACAGAAGAGGAAGATGCTCCAGCAGTACGAGATGACACCCGACTTGAGGAGAATGTTCCATTGGTGCTCCACCACTTCCTTGGAGGTATGGAGTGTCTTGATCATGTGCGCAGTGGCCGTGCCACTGGGGAAGAGGAGGCGCATGTCAATGATAAACTTGCGGCGGAGCGGGAAGGAGATGAAGAAGCCAAAGAGCGCAATGCTGGCGCACCACGCAAACGAGTGGATCCAGTTGAAGTCGATGACATCGGCCGCGCGGTTGCCCTTGGTGTTGTTGCCGACTTGTTCGTACACGACCTGTGTGAGCGCGAGGACACCGGAGGTAAACCCGGCCTGGCTGGCCAGACTCATGCAGGCCACGGCGGTCGTCTGGATGACGACGTTTTCTTGGACGGAAAAGAAGCCGGAGAAGATGTTGAAGCGCATCATGGCCTTGGTGAGCATGAAGCCACCGACACCGGCGAGCACGTTGAGGGACGGCGTGACACCGATCTTGAGGCCGTAGTACATCGCGAGCACGCTGACAAAAATGCCCATGAGTGTGCCGACGACGAGCGACTTAAGCGTGATCTGCGGGTGTTCGAGGCCGTTGGTAATGACGGCAAACTCGAGGGCTTGCTTCTCGCTGTCGTCCTCGCCGGCTTCGTAGCCGTCGCGGGGTGTCGCCGCCACCTTGTACTCGGAGATGATACTGTTTTGCGCCGACCGCATCTTTCGACTGCCGAGCAAAAGCAAAAATGAAGGAGTCACCTCCTCACAAAGGACGAGCCACTGCCACTCGTGGCCACGGCGCCCGCGACGTAGTAACACCAGCTGCGACTTCAACAAAGCCCCTTGCGACATGCCATATGGATACACGACGCGGATTTCACACACAAGACGATTTCGTTTTCAATGCCACCACCTTGGAACCTCCACGGCAAGGCTCACGACTGTAGACAGATCGATAGACGGAGCTTCGATCGTCGAAGTAGATAGTTGCTAGGTGCTTGGGCTGTGTTGTAGGGATGTATTTAATACTGTGTGTCGTAGAGCTTTGTCGTAGCCGTCGCCACGCATGGTAGACAATACAGCTGTAGTAGTGGGTATGGCAGCATCAACATTTCGAAGAAAGGCCACATGCGAGGCTCATCCGACCCGCCCGCATGGTGGTCTTGGTGTGTACACATTTGTGGGAGAGATCGAGATTATGGCGCCCTGTCGCGCGAGCCAAAATGGAGGCCTGTCTATAGCACGCAATCAAGACGACGGTCATGTTCGCTGCGAGCTCTCTCGATGACCAGAAAGCAACCAGCACACGACACGACAACCTGTGGCAATAGTTCTGGCATGCATGCCCAGCGTCGGTCGTGGTGGGATACTACGTACCACCGTGCCGCTGGGTCGTGCCGCCATCGGTCGTTTTTCTGATCCGAGGAGTGGGAGACAAAGATCTGAGTTTGCGCAAATGGGGCACATGGGACTGAAAGGAGCTCCCTCGGAACAAGGAAACGTGCCTTCACATCGTCGCGCTGGAAGGCTGCAGTGTCCTCGCGGACTCTACCACATCTCGGGGCCCTCGGCGTGGCATACACGGCGCTTTGGTCACACGTGCCTCATTGGCAATGATGCCGGAGATTGCGGACGATCGCGGCTCGTCCTTCGCAATGTGGTGCTGTGTTTCGCGGGTCTTTTCGGGTATTTCACATTTTTCACACATTTCCACGCACTTTTCTTACTTGAGGAGGCCGCATGGTGGGACATGACGATGTTGTGCGTCTTTTCTACGTTTCGGACGGATCGCCTGTACACGGCGTCGACAACCCGAGGACATCGCAGGGCGCGCAGAACGTACACTAACGTTACCAGGTTAGGATCACCATTTGCAGCGCGAGGCTGCTCTCCGATGCCTTCGACTGTAGCCGTCGAGTTTGGGCAGTGGAGCAGGAAGCGACCGAGTAGCAACTCTACGGTGAACCTTCTAGGTATGCTGGACTACCATGGTAATCGGTAATCACTGCTGGCTGGGCGCGTTGCACACGCACAAAACAAATTACCCTTAGTTCGTGCCCCGTTGCTTTGTCTTCGTCCTCTTCTTCTCACAGCTTTGGACAGCCGGCGGTACGGACACCGGGTGCAACCACGCGGTGCAGAGCGACTAACCCGACGTCGCCGAATGCAGGTCGATTATGCTCGAGTGCCACGGTGTACCGGATTCGTTTTCCTGCGCTGCACGTCAAGTGTGATTACACAACTTGACGCAGTTTGCCAACGGGCCATCGACGACGCTTGGGCGCGAATGATGATGCACTTCAACCTCCAGAATTTCGACACCCTTCGATGGCCAACGAGGCGTCTTTTCACATTGATCGCCATCATCGCACGTTCATTGTGGCTGTTCTCTATGCTCGATTCGAAGGCGATGTCGAACGCGAGCTCGCCAAGGCTAATCTACACCGACATGATCGCTGGGATCACGGATTCCGGTACCGGTAGGTCTTTGAGGTCGTAATGAGGCGCAGCTTAATAAGGGTGTCCTCGAGGTGGTGGGCGGTGGGCGAGGAGTCTTCTGAACGACCACCAACGAGGTGTCCATAGACCACACATACGCCATGCACGACACAATGCAAGCTCCTTGGGCTCGGGTGTTTATCAACCGACTGAGTTTGCTGACCTTGAATGTCATATTCTCGAGCTAGACTACGCTGGCAAATCTCGACTTGGTGCTGCCAGACACCAGGCAGAAACGCTCCGTGGCGGCTATCAACCTACACGGTACTAATTGTAGGTGTGATCGTGGTGCTAGTAAAACACGCGTGCGAGACTGGATCTGTGCTTCGCGCGCTGCTCACGTGTGCACAAGCACCAGCACGAGCTGTGGCGAGCTAGAAATGCACTTGAAGATGCGTGCGCCAGCAAACGTCACGTGTTTTCGAAACATTGCGTACCTAGCTCCAGTCGAAGGTGGGGGAGAGCTTATGGATCCATTGCACCACCTCAAGATTGCTCGAAGTAAACGGTCATCGGCCAGGGATGCTCTGTAGCGAATTGAACAGGTTGGTGGGTTGGCGGGGGAGAGCGTGTTGCTAAAACATTTAGTGTTCATTGCTATTACAGTCTACACCATGAGTCTACACATGTACGCAGTAGTCGGTCAAGCGTTGATGTTAAAGCAAGCATTGATTATTGCCGCGTGCATCGTTCAATGCGTTGGTTTGGCGCCAAATGCAAGTTCAAGTTGAAGACGCGATTTGGCGTAAATAGTGTATGACCAGATTTGTGATTTATCACGAGTGTCTCACACGATATCCGTCCCAGGGCCAAGCATGGAATATGCCATGGGAAGGCGCGCCATGTTTGCTAGAGGCGTTTTCAGCCTGTCGACAGCGTCCAAGTCGCTTTCCAAGAGTACCCCTTCCCCTGGGTGCTTGAAGAGCAGGAACGGCTACGACATGTGGCCCACAAGTCACGGGCATGTATCGAGGTCATGGTACATGAGATCGTGTCTTTGACTGGACTGCCTTGGTACACTCCTCGAGCTAATGCATCGCACTATCCAACTACTTCTACGTAGCACGCTTTGTAGAGTAGAGTGTCGTTAGTAGCGACCACTCGAAAAGTACGACTCGTGATGAAACCGCTTGGCGCGTTCACTTCCAACCGATCAACATGAAGTACATGGCCGCACTGGCCTTCACTGCAGCATCGACCTTTGGGGCCGCAATAATTCCCACAGCGATCGATGTCGCTCCAACAGCGACGCGTGCAGTCACGGTCTGCTCGAGCTTGAACGGACCCCACTGCTTTGACATCAACGCCCGGAACGTACCGTCCTACCTCTTGCACGGCGCCGAATTCACTCCTGTACACGCCATGTTCCTCGTACCTTTTCAAGACGACCGATGTCTTTACAACCATCATGCGTCGTAGGAGGCCGCGCGTCGACAGTTCGAGGCGACCACGATTCCGAGTTTTTCGTTTTCCCTGGACGCGGTTGTTGTCGCCGTCGCGCCGCGTGCGACGACTTCAACACAGGTCTCTGCAACGACCTTTACGCAGAGCTTGGTGCTATCAGTTCTGACGAGCGAGGCCCGCGACGTCATCTCGATCGACGAAGAAGACCGCATTCTTGAGGCGTGGCGAGGCTACGTCCGTACCGCCATCGTGATGACAGACGACGCGTTTGAATCGCGCTGGGCAAAATTGATGGACTTGCTCTTGACCAAGCCGGCGCCTGTGCTCAACCACGGCCGCGACCATATCGAAGCACACTTTACGGCCGTCTTTGGCGCCGACGTTGACGCGCATGACGCCATTATGACAGAGCTCCTCGCGCTCGTGGCGCAAGCGACAATGCAACGAGGTAGTCCTACTCGTACACGAGATAACACCGCGAAAGAGACCTCGTTGTAGACCGACTGCACGGCCAGCGCGCTCACGGCCACGTCAACATGCTTGTGACGGCTACGACGCACCGCGACGAGCGCAACAAATAGCTCGAGGAGGCAAAAGCAAACCCGTCCAAACATGGAAAGGAGGTCGAAGGTTGAAAACAAGCAACGAGCAATCAACAACTTGTCATTGTTTGCGTCGACCACTACACTATGATAAAGTTGACCAAGTTTCAGTATAGTACTACAGTAGCTACTAGCTGTAGTACGCTCGATGCCCGCCCAACAAATTACATGAAAGTTGTTTGGTGTCACGCATCGCCGGCCAAGTGGAACCATGCACGTGCTCGGCACATCCGTATTAGTAAGACCGCCTCGGAATTCTTGCAGCATGGTAACACAGCTCCTCGAGCGCGTGATGCAAGCGACAATGCAGCGAGGCTGTAGCACATGTACCTAGATGACGCCGCGAAAGCGACCATCTTGTAGACCGAACGCACGGCCAGCGCGCAAACGATCACGTCAGTATACTTGCGACGCGCGCATCAAGCTGCGATCGGCTACCTACCGGTGGTGCTTTTGCGACAAAGGCTTGGAAGGGAGTGTGCACCACACCGCCGCGTTGCTGCGGTGATCGGTGCCGTTGGACGTGTCGTGCCCGTCGGCGGCGCTTGAACTATACTTCAAGTTGACATTTCACCGTGGAAAACGGGAAAGGAAGATTGCCGGGACGCGAACCCAGCTCTACCTATTCGGTCAACCAATTTAAACCCGCTAGAACAAATGCAGTTCACAGATTCTGCCGTTCTGACGGAGGATACGCTTGCGATAACGACCTATTTAGTGTCACTCGTTTACACGCCACGTCTCCCGCTCGGCTAAGCCTCTCGGCGGCCGGCTCATCGTAGCACCTTGGAATCGATAGTCCACCACCATATCCAGTTCAGTGTAAATTATATCTAAATAGACTCACTTCAACAACCTATTTAGTGTCACTTCGATCTCCCCGACGTGAGTACAGCTGCACTACATGCAGGAAGATTCCCTTCATCTCGACTTGCGCAAGTGTCGACAACATCTTGAACATGGCGTCACGTCGTGCCGTGGCGCGATCGAGCTGGGTACATGCTATCAATCCACCAGTGAAAGTACTACGGGTGTGGGCAGAGCCAGGACTGACATCTTAGCCACCAACGCTGCGTGCTCAGTCAACACGAGTGTCGTGGAAGCGAGTCTTTAGGTCCTAGAACGCTTCGGTTGTGCTTGACCTTTGGTTCAACCTGTGTGCTGCATGATTTTCTTGCCGTTTTTGGCAATGGTCGAACGCAATGACACGACACTATAATGCAGCGACGACGACAGGACTGCAGTACAGATTCATGCGGTCGGACGACATGCGCAGGACTGACCAAGTCCTCCACCTCGCGTGGTTGCAGCTAGATTCGCTCTTGGAGCTTGCCGCTGCATGTCCCATCCGTCTGTCCGCAGCGCCGTAGCCAATCAGGCGCGAGGCCACGTTGCAATTTGCTTCAAAAGTACGCCTGCTGTCGCGACCGCGCGTTTTATTCGACCTTTTGCGCAACGATGACAACGCCCAAGGCGTCGGCGTACCATGCGCACGAGAGCGAGGCGTCGGCGATCGCGATCCAGATCGAGGCCAAAGAGGGCTCCATCACGCAGCACGGATCGTCCGAGACGTCGGCCGTCGGGCGCTTCTTCCGGCGGCTCCTGCCGGCGCTGAGCTCGGCCTTTGTCGCGTCCGTCGCGTACGTGGACCCGGGCAACTTTGCCACCAACATTCAGAGCGGCTCCAACTACGGCTTTACGCTGCTCTGGGTCATCCTCGTCGCCAACATCATGGCGATGCTCTTCCAGACGCTCTCGGCCAAGCTCGGGCTCGCGACCGGCAAGAACCTCCCCGAGGTCATCCGCGAAGAGTGCCCGCACTGGTTTGTGCTCATCATGTGGTTCATTGCTGAAATCGCAGCGATCGCCACGGACGTGGCCGAATTCATCGGGTCGGCCATCGCGTTCGAGCTCCTCTTTGATATCTCCTTGGTGTGGGGCGCGCTCATCACGTGCTTTACAACCATGCTGCTACTGCTTGTGCACCAGCACCAGACGCGGCTCTTCGAGGCCGTCATCTTCTCGCTCGTCTCGGTCATTGTCGTCTCGTACATTGTCGAGACCGCTCTGCAGTCGATCGACTGGGGCACGTCGCGTACCACACGTTCGTGCCCGCGTTCGACGGCAAGGACAGCGTGCTGCTCGCGGTCGGGATCGTCGGTGCGACCGTCATGCCCCACGTCATCTACCTCCACTCGTCGCTCACGCAAGGCCGCTTTAGCGTCAGCGAGACGGGCGACGTCATTTTGCCGCCGCTTGCGATCGAAATCACCGGCATCATCATTGCGCTCGGCATCGCAGGCTTCGTCAACATGTCGATGCTCATCATGGCGGCCGCGACCTTCCACGCCAACGGCCAAAACGACATTACAACGATCGAGACAGCGTACTTGACGCTCGAGCCGCTCCTCGGAAAAGCCGCGAGCACCGTCTTTGCGATCGGTCTCCTTGCGTCCGGTATCTCGTCATCGGCCGTCGGGACGCTCGCCGGCCAAGTCATCATGGCCGGGTTCCTCCGGGTCCAAGTGTCCATGTGGATCCGCCGGCTCGTGACGATCGTGCCGTCGCTCATCATTGTGTTTGCCGGCGTCGACCCGACCGAAGCGCTGGTCGTGAGCCAGGTCGTGCTCAGCTTTTGCATTCCGTTTGCACTCGTGCCGCTCGCCTACTTTACGAGCAAGACGTCCATCATGGGCGAGTGGGCCAACTCGTACTTGATCTCGGCCATCACGGCCGTGCTCTGCCTGCTCATCGTCGGCCTCAACGTCTTCTTGATCGTTGGCGCCTTTACCGGCGAATCCTAAGCACCAAATCTATGATGTCGAGTCGCTGGATGCCTCGAGCAACGGTAGCAATGAATGAGCACCCTTCTTTCTTCGCCAGAGTTAGATACTAATGTTGCTGCGCGTTCTCTTGGTGCTACAAGGATCCGACTACAGATAGTTATTCGTTGTACACGTAGCCCCTGCAGTAGTTGCAGCCGGTGCGGCCGAGTCCGTGGCTACACGAGCACATGCTCTTATAAGAACCCAAAGGGTAGCGTGGTGGTGCATCTCAGAACTCATAGGTCAACTCAGACTTGAATTGGTTCGAAAGGCAAAGTCGCAAAAGATCACAAAATTCGAACCGCATGGTACTGTCTAAGGGAATTGGACCACGAGCCAATCGCAGGCGCGCGTATCCAAACCCATGGCCTCGACCGCGGCCGTCACGGGCCTCGAGACGCTTCTCGCTGGCGACTCGGAGTGGCGCAACATCCAAACGATCGTCAAGAGCACGTTCGAGACCGTCGCGCGCATCCTATCGAGCCACGCCGTCTTGCTCGAGACGCTGGACGCGCGTCTGGACCGTCTCGTCGATGCCCACACGCCGTCCGCGATTTCCCAGATCGAGGTTGTGCAGCTTCAAAACGACGTGCGCAAGTGCCTCAAGCGCGCCGTGACGTCCAGCGACCTCGAGACGCGCGTCGCAGCGGCTGTCGATCAAATGAAGCGCCGCATGGACCATGCGGTGGGCCCGCTCCAGGAGGCCAACGCTTCGACCGCCAAGCTACTAATGGACCGTGCACAAGACTCGTTTGTCACCAGAGCCGACCTCGACGCGGCATCTAGCAGCGTACGTGCAATCCGAGCGCAGTGAGATTATGCAATAGATGGCATGCGTAGGTGGCGCGTGCGGCCAAGGCGTCGGCGGCGGCAGCGATCGCCGAAGCCGAGCAGCGGCTCGGGAAGCTCGTTGCACACCAGCAGCAAGCCGAGTCCAAAGACAGGGTGCGCAAGTCGCAGCTGCACGAACTGCTAGCGTTTAAAGCGACGATCGAACCGGAAGTGCACGCACTTGCAAAGCGTCTTCCGGAGCTCGTGCACGCCCAGGCTGCGTGGCAGACTGAGGTGCAGAAAGAGTTCCAGCGGCAAAAGACCCAGCGCGACGACGCACTGACCAAAGTGATCGCCGAGTGCCAGACCCACTTGGTACCGACAGTCGTCGAGTCGACACTCGAGGTACCATACTACTGTAGCGGCAACGCGCGATGGCGTCCGACGTCAAGCTCGTGCTTGCAGGCAAAGTCGACCGCTCTGAGCTCCACGATGTGCGCCACGAGGTTCGAGTGTTGCTGCGCATAGCGATGTTGAACGAACGGTAGACGGCTCTGGAGAAGGAAGCGCTGGACGTGCGCCTGCACGAGCTCGACGAGACGCTCCAGCGCTCGATCGGTCAGCTGAAAGTCGAATTTGGCCAGATTCTAGAGAAAAAGTGTTCCAAATCGGATGTCGTCAAGATTTTTGCGCGCAAAGTCAACCAAGGTACCGAACACCTCAACAGATTTCGCATCGAAATTGGAATGCTAGACGACGTCCACGCATGGCTGGCGGCCAAGGTGAGCCACGACGAGCTGCGGGACGTGTGCACGGAGCTGCTCCACGCGACAACCAAACAAACCAACGACATGCAAGGCGAGATGCGCGACGAGCTCGAGAGTCTTCGGACCAAGGTCGAGACGCGCGCCAAAGAGCTCCACGAGCACATTGCCGAGTCGATTCAGACGCTGGTAGGACCGTGCTACTGGAGTACGACGTGGACGATCCATGTAGCAACACCAAGTGCGGCTCATGGATGGCTGGAAGCTCAGTGTCGACGATCTCCACACGCAGCTCGTGACCAAGGTGGCGCCTCCTGGTGCCCAATTTACTATTGTACAGTATTAGATGGGCATCAAGGACACGTGTACACTACTCGACACCAAGTGCAACATCGCCGACGTCAACGACGCCCTCGCCTCGCTGCAAGAGACGCTGCAGTCCAAGGCCGACGAAAGCGACCTAAAGGCGCTTGGGGACGATCTCAGCGGCCTTCGCCGGCAAATGCGCGGGGAGCTATGTCTCGGACGCTGGGTACAGGGTTCGAATCCTGCTTGCTCCTATAGAATCATTTAAATGCTTTAGATATGGAAGCACGGACGACCAAGCGAGGTCCAGACGATCCAGTGGAATGTACAGATTGTCAACACGAGCCCCGACATTTTCGTGTGGGAGAAGGGCGCCGACGCCATCACGCTCGAGCTGCCAGGCCTCTACATGCTCCAAGCCGGCTTCTTCACCGACTACAACCCGACGATCCACATCGTCGTCAACGGAGAGCCCGCGCTCGTCGTACCAAGGTAATACACGCGATGCTCGTTCAGTATTGGAACGTAATGGATCGATAGCTCCAAAAGCGACGGCCGGCGGCTGCGGCACTCGGCCGGCAACGTCACAGGCGTCTCAGTCTGCGAGTTCCTTGCCTTGCCACCCCGCGCCCGCCTCACAATCAGCTATGATATTGATGAGCGAGCCCAGGCGTGCTTGACCCTTCGAAAATTGTAATAACCTGTAGCTCTCGTTTCGAAAGGCAGTGTTTGGTGGCCAATGGTTACGCCGGCTCGGTCAGCGGCATGTACCACGCCTCGGTCATGAGCGCGCGGTCGCGCGCCGCCGTGTTGAACGGAGGCTTGAGGACACCGACATAGTGGGCGCGAACGAGGTCGTGGAAGGTCGGAATCGGATCCAGCCCACCTTGCTTCTCGCAGAGGTACTGGAACCAGCGCAGCCCCGCCGCGACTACACACGACAACAGATTATTGTCCTTTTGATTGCAGACACTATCGCATTGACACCATGCGTGACTTCCTCCTTGTGGTTCTTTTCCATAAACGTCAAGGTCGTCGTGTCGTTGCTCTTGGTGAAGCGCGCGACCGCCATGGGGTACGTGTCAAGGCCCCGGGCTTCGTGCACGAGATGCACGAGCGCAAGCCGAGAGAGTATGTCGGACGATGTCTCGCGGGCGCTGTCCCAGAGCCCGTCGTGGCCGGGCAGGTCGCCGTAGAACGAGTCGAAGTCTTTCAGACGACTGGCCCAGCTGCGGTAGTGCTGTGCCTCTTCGTCGGCGATGCGCACAAAGTCGTCAAAGAACGCCTTGGGCATGTCGTTGGACGGTCCGAAGCGACAGACCATGTCCCACATCAAGTCGATCGCGTAGCTCTCGGCGTGGGCCACACTAGGCGACAGCGTGAGGGCCATCGATCGCGATGCATTTGTACCTGTGGGCAAAGGCCTTGCGGTTCCCTTGCTTCATCTTGTCGTTCTTGGATGCGATCTTGACGTAGGCGGGGCGCGCCGGCGACTCGGGCACGCCAGCGAGGTCGTCGCCTGGGAGAGACGTGGCAGAGATCGTGCCCGCCTTCCACGCAGCGGCAAAGGCCCGGGTCTTGGCCGCCTTGGCCTCGGCGCAGCTCGTGCGCAGCACCTCAAGGCCGCACGAGAAGAGGCTCCGGGTCGAGAGGTCTGCATACATCGACGTCGCGTCGTCCACGCCGGTCTCGGTTGCCATGATGCACGCCAGCCAAAACTGGCACGGTATCCGGATCGCCGGATACAATTTCGCTAAAAATAGATATGGTGGATTGCAGCTGAAGTGACGACGACGCTACGCTCCTGCTGCGCAAGCGATCCATCCCTCTGCCCCGGTGTACACGAAGCGGGCGAGTGCTAGCGCCGAGTCCTTGGGCAAACGGATAACTACAAGAATGCTGCAATGACGTCGGATATCGCGATAGTAAGCTCTTGTAAAATGTTTGCAAGGGTGTCTACGTCACTATTTCTGGTTTCTACCATTGGCGCCAACGCGGTTTCCGGTTTCAGACGGCCTTTCCAGCGGCCATGGACATCATGATGGCGCTGAGCACGGAGGACGTGAAGCGGCTCAAGTCTCGCTTCGTCCGACCGCTCACGATTGACGAGTTTGTCTACACCATGACCAAGTCGCTCCACGAACACATCGAGGACGAGGTACATACAGTACTCCGCCGGCCTTGTATTCCAAGCACGCATACATAGCTTGAGTTTGCCATGGCGGTCATCGAGCTCTTCGAAACCATCGACGTCAACGGTGACGGGTCGCTCGAGTGGGACGAGTTTGCTGGGTACGTCTCTTCCTCCTACGACAAAGGGCGTCGCATTGAATCGTTCGGTAGCTACATCATGGACGCGGGCATTGCGAAAGCGGAGGAGGCGATTAGCGCGCAGTCGACTGCCAAACTCTATACGAAATTGAGCTTCAAAGGCGAGCTCACCAACTCGACGCAGCCGATTGCAGCCGAGCGCACCTACATTGCGCAGCTCTTGTACCTCGCCGCGAAGAGCGCCGTCGCATACTTCGAGGTGCACGCGGACGTGGTGCATTTGTATGTGGTCGCCCACGAGCGCGACGCCGAGCCGCGCTTCGCCTCGACGATTCGCCTCCACACCGCGTACCAAGCCCACAAGGTAATGTTACAGTACTTTTGTACCTCTTTTTTTGTCCCTCGATCTAACGACCTCGCGAAAGGTGCTCGCGATCGAAGAAGTGCCGACACGATCGACGCTTGTCGTATCGTCTGTGCTTCAGCAGCACGGCACGATCACGCTTTGGGACATTGGCCGCATTTACGGCCCCGTGCCGCTGCAGCGCGTTGAAACGCCGGCGCCGCACGAGTTGCTTCTCTGGGTTCCGTCGGCGCAGCTTCTTTTGACAGCGACAGGCCACATAAGTGCACACCAGCACCGCAAGCCGCCGAGTCCGCTCATCGCCGCGTACGATATTGCGGCGTTGGCGTCGGTGGACATGAAGGTGGACGTCAAGGGTGTGAGTGCGCTCTGCGTTGTCAAGCGCAGCACGCGCACCGCCGTGGCCTTTGGCAGCTTTAACGGCCTCATCACGCTCCACGATCTCTCGCGTGAAGACGCCGATGTGGTGCTCGAGGCCCATGAAAAAGGTATTTTTGTGATGTCAATCTATGGTCGCTCCATGGACAACCCACATACACGTTGCTTGGGCGAACAAGGGGCGATGATGCATCGTAGGCGTCAAGGCCGTCGTCCACTCGCCCAAGTTTGCCTACCTCGCCAGCATTGGCTTTTACTCGTTTGCAGAAGAAAGCACGATGGAGATCTTGGTCCGTGCTTGTATCGAAGCGCTCTTTCGAGTTTGGATGTAGATCTGGAACGTGGACGACGGCGACCTTCAGACCGCGTTGCGCGGCCACCATGCTGCGGTAGACTCCACCTCGTTGCCGCTACCTGTTGACATGGCGGCGAGTATAGCTGAGTGCAATCACCGCCGTCGACTCGGAGAGCCACTTTCTCTCGTCCGATGAGCTTGGCACCTGCCGCGTGTGGTCTGCGACGTCGTGGGACTGTCTGCAGGTAGGGCCATGCACATCCTTTTGGCAGATACGAGATACCATGTGCATGTGGGCTAGGTGTTTGAAGCCCACTCGGCGGAGATGGGACTGCTTCGGGCACAGCTGGTGATGCCCGCCACGGCCCACGCCGATGCCGTCCTCCTCTGCGGCGGCAAGTGCATCGAGTACTTTGACTGCTCGATCACCCGCGACCGCGAAGAGTTTATCTTTATGGCCTTCAACGCGACGCTCAACCTCATTACGGCCGCCACGTGTACGTCCATATCGCTATATCTTACGGTCCATGTATCGATCGCAGTTGCTAGATCACCGCTTGATTTTATGGGACGTCGGCACGGGCAACGCTACCAAAGTATACAGTCTGCAAGTCATTTACAACGAACGGCCCGTGCGCGGTATCACGGCCGTGTGCATGGACGACCGCGAGCGCAAGCTCATTGTCGGCGACGATGCAGGTCAAATCCTCGTCGTCAACATGGTCAACGGCAACCTCATGAAGGAGCTCGACCCGCACACCCTCGCGGTACCATATCGAATTGGTATATGGACAAAATAGCCATATACAGGCGCGCAGATCACGTCCGTCTCGTACGCGGCCAAAGCCAAGTGTGTCGTCTCGACTGCCATGGACTCGACCATCCATATCTGTGACGAGAACAACGCCCACGGGTATTACGTACCATACGCCGGCGCGCCGCTCTCGGTGCTACTGCGCTCGATTCACCTTCAGGCGCCGCCACCAGCATGCACCGTGCAGGGCTCTCGCCCGTCGTCGGCGGTACCACACCAGTCTACCGTTCAAAAGACGATATTGTACATACTAGGTGGAGCTCCGACCACGCACCGGTAGCGGTCTGCCGCTACGACCGAGCAACCTCCATGGCGCCCAGCTCTCGATTGATATTGTGACGAGCCAAGTGAGCGAAGCGTGGGATCTCATTGCGACCATGGCACATGTCTCGGGGGCGCTTGGTGTACGTCGCTGATAGCTTGGAACTCGTTGGGCTGAGTTTGGCGTAGGAGTGTTACTTGCAGCTGTGGGATTTCTTCTCGCCGCAACTTGTCGGGTCGTGCGTGCCTCCGCGCGTGCACTGCGGCGAGATCATGTGCATCGCCTTTCTTGGCGCGCTCCCAGGTCTCCTCGCGGGCTTCTCGAATGGCGACGTCTTTCTCTGGGGTGTTCGGCGGTCGGCCGCGCCGTCGCAATGCCTCTTCGAGCTCAAGCACACGTCGAAAGGCAGCCCCATTACGTGTCTTGACGTCGTCGTGACGCCCGTAGGCACACTGCGTGGACTTCGATCATGATCACATTGGAATGTAGGGTGCCAAGCCGGACTACTGGATCATTGCTGGCGACGAAGCTGGCCGCGTTACTCGGTGGACACTCACACACGACATGTGCGCGCGCGTGCTCCTTCCTAAGAACTCATCGCCGCCCGAGACCAACGACGAGCCGAATGGAGCGGGCAGCTCAAGCGCCGAAGCCACGATCGGACGGCACACGCACAGCGAAATTCTCTGGGATGCCATGCACAAGAGTGTGAAGGCGGCGAAATCGATCCAGCAACAGAGTCCACCGCCGACGTGCGTCTACCACGATGTACAGTGGTCAACGGGACCCCACGCGGTGGCCAAGCTCTCGTCTGTGCCGTGCGTCAAGGGCGGAACGTCGCTTCTCTCGTGCTCGGTCGCGGGCCAAGTCAAGGCGTGGACGAGCGACGGCGACCCAGAAGGCACCCTCGACTATTTTGCGACGCGGCGCGAACCAGGTTGCGTGCATGCAATCGCTATGGTCGTTGAGATGGTGTGTAGTCGTCGAGCCGTGGACCGTGCCGGTGGATACGTCGTGCCGGCGCCGCGTCAAAGAAGCCCAGGCGCGCGAACTCTGTAGCAAAGTGCACCAGATCAGCATCGCGATGCGCGATCCCCGGGTACGTCCGTCATCCCCATGCTACTTGTGGTGTATGAAAGGCTGCATGTAGCGCGAAGCGACGCCGCTGTCGACGCCGCAGATGAGTCTGAGCACGAAATCCCCGCTCGGGAGCCCGAGTTTCAAGCTCACACCACGCACGTGCGCGCGCTTCAAGAGCTTGTCGCAGCTCATGCCGCGAAAAGGCCCGACCAAAGACGACGAGACTGCCGAGAGCCCGCCATTAGGTTCGCGCGCTCCACACGCGCACGCGGTAACGTGTGGCATAGATGTGGTCCTGCACGAACTTGGACAGTTGGACGATGTCAACAGACGCGCGACCGTCCGCAAGAAGCGCGAAATCAAGACGGTCGAAGGCATTTTAGAGCTCCAGCGCGCGGCATCGCTGACGCAGCTGCCGTCACAAACGACGACGCGGCTGTCGCAGCGCCGGCCCCACGGGGGCTCCTCAAGCGAACGCTGCCCAAACTCAACACGTCTGCGCTGACGACGACGACGACGAAGCCGCCGCTCGAGAGTGTCCTCTCGTACCACATGAAGCTTGCCCACTCGTGGCAGCAATAAGATTCGTTCTTGATATGCATCTTATTGGATCACGGCGTGCGTCTTCCAGTACGCGACGGCCTCGAGGTACTTTTCACGCGAGAGCGGAACGCCCGACCCGCCTTCTTCCTTGCCGAGCGCATTGCGCAGCACCGTGATCGGGTTCATTGGCAGCTCATGGGCTACGTCCTGCGCCTTGACCGAGATGATGCCCCACGGCACGTCGTCGTTGACGCTATCAAGCGGGAGCCCCGTCGCCGCTGTCTCCTTGCGGATCTGGTCGCGGCTGTACAAAATAATGTCGAGGTGCGACGCGGCTTCGGCCTCGAGGGACGCACTCGGGAACCAGCGCGCAAGCCTACGTAACGCGCATGAAGCACTGCGAGGAGCCATATACTAGTAGGACATACACGGGGAGCTCTGTGGGCACGCGGGCCACGTAGTCGGTCTCGAGCAGGTGCTTGTTGGCGTCCGTAATGAGCGCCGTGCTCAGCTTGGCACCGACAAAGTTGGGCACAAAGAGGTGCTTGCAGAACGGAGCGTAGCTAGCAATGGTTGCATGAGGTCACGCTCACATGGTGGCGAAAGTACCCGTCGATGAGCGAGCACGCGTCAGACGCGTAGAGCTCGTTGATCTTGGCCTCGAAGGCCGCCTTGTCGTAGGCGATGTGCGTGCCCTTGTAGCTCGGGTCGTCAAACTGGCGCAAGCAGAAGCCATCTACGCAGCCTCAGGAGCCGGTCGTCCATGGCAACGTACCGAGTGCAAAGGTCTTGGTCGTCGTCGAAGCCATCGTGCTCAGCCCTCGCCGCAAACCACACAGAACGGATGTCATGAAAATTCGGTTTAGAATCTCTGGAACTCTGTATGTATATATGGATTTATGTGCCATATGTAACCAAGTCCCATGTACCGTTAGGTCGTTTAGCAGGCAAACACAAGAGGGTAATCGAGCGCAATACGAGTAAACAGCTCCAGTGGCGAGGTTGACCTATTCACGCAATGATATAAGACGTGACTACGAGATCGACAGCGTGCCACTCCATGAAAGATCGTCCTAGCTGGAGGATTAAGATATGGTGGGAATATATGGAAACCATATCCGGACATACCGGATACCCTCGGCTGCATTCCGGCCAAGATGGCGGCAAAGCGCAAGAAGGCCGCGCCGCGCCAGCCCAAGCGCAAGCGCGAAGAGATTGTCGAGCGATGCGTCGAGAGGCCGACAGGGCGGACGTACCGCGTCCTCGACGGTCTGCCAGACGACCTTGCGCCCGACATTGTACACATCCAATCGAATGCACCAAGTTTGTTTGACCTCGAGACTTAGTGGGCTGCGATCGAGCGGTTTGAAGACGCGCAGCTGGCGCCGATGCCGCCTGCGCGGCCTCTGTCGGCCAGCGCTAGCATACACGACGACTTTTGTCCCGAGAGCGACGACGACGAAGCCATCGAAGCGACGGCGCGAAATGCATGTTCCTCGCCACCCCGTGCATCCATGGTACACGACGTCGCCATCGTTGACGACGACATGATCGTACCATCGACTCCGTCGCCGACCAAGACCGACGAGGCCCCCGCACAACCGTCCGAGCTGTCGCCTCCGCGAGCGGTCTCGACGATCATCACTCGAATCGCATCTTCGCCCACCACGCCTCAACACATGCCAGCGATATCCATGGAGACTGTGGAGGAAGCGGACACGAGCGCTTGCAGGCTCTTGCCTCTCGATGACGATCACAACGCGACAGAAGCGACGCACGTCGCGCCTGCAGAGGCAGAAACACCTGCGTCTCCCACGCAACTCTCCCCTCCGTCCATGGCCCATGACGAGCATACGCCGAGCGAGACGCCGTACTCGGCCACGATGCGCTTGTACGACATTTCTGCCTCGGCGCCGGCTCCAGCACCACCTGCCTTGGCTTTGGCAAAGGACGAGGCGGGTGCTGCTGCCAAGCCAGCATCGCCCCCACACATTCAAGGCGATGCACTGCAAGTGCTGCTCTCGCTCTCTGACAAGTGTCCGACCTTGGCGTCCTGGCTCAAGCACGACGACGTCGACGACCCGCTGCCGTCGCTCGACAACGTCTTTGACGAGGACGACGACGGCGAGTCCCCAACGAGTGGCAGTGTGCCTCGCATGGACATACGACCGTCCATGGCGGTACGTCATTGGACGATGTACCACATCTGGTAACGCTGTCGTCAGGTCTGGTCGTCGTCGCTGCAAGCGCGCTGTCACCTCCTTCCGTCACATGCCGCGGCGCCAGGTAGTTATCGTGCGTTGGGTGGTTGCGTCAACGGGCGTGTGACTGTTAGTGGCGCCCGTGCTCGTGTACTGGATCCAGCATGTTTGGCGGATGCACCACAACTATGCGCTGGTTGCGCTCTCGCACTTGAGCCGACAGCTCGAGCTACCGGTCGTCGCCTTCTGCGCACTGCCCCGCGCGATGGTCTCGCTGTCGTCGCCGCCAACGCACGCGTGCTACCCGTCCGCGATCGCCGACGTCCGCCGGCAGCTCCAAGCCCACGGCATCCCGCTCTATGCCATCACAGAGTCAAAGGACGAGGCCATCGAGGTTCTCGACGCAGCTTGAAAAACACGCGCGAAAGATATACGCATACGTAGACGCGCGACGCCCGCCTTGTGCAAGCACTCAACTCGTTTCGTGCGCAAGTCGTCGTCACGGACGATGGCCATGCCACCTACCGCACGGTGGCTCGGCTTGCCACGGAGCAGCTCACGTCGTCGCTCTTGCTTGTAGAACTCCAGCATATATCTTGCAACGTGCGTACTCAGCGACGGATGTAGGTTGATAGCAACTGCGTCGTGCCGTGGCGTCGCATGGCCGTCGCCACTAATGAGACGTTCAAGAACGTGTGGGCCATGCAGCTAGAGGACTGCCTCCGGTCGGCGCCTCCCCTGGAATTTAGCCCGCGCCGCCAAAGCACCGTCTTTCCACCGCCCATGTCACCGCCGTTCGCCGTACACACGGTTGCGTGGCATTTGCTCGACCGTTCGACGATGGCAGCGCGCAACATGAGGTGCGATTGCATACTTTTTCTTTGGTATTTACAATGGGTAGCGAGACGGCAGCCTTGGCCCATCTCCAAGAGCTCGTGCAAAGCAGCAGTGTGGTGCCACGCCCCGCCATCCAAGACGAGCTCCACGTATATCCATGAAATTGACGAGGTCATTGAAACATTTATTGATTCGATAGGGTCGTGGCATCCTGTCGGTGCTGCCGTATGTTCGGTTTGGTTCGCTCTCGCCCGTGCATCTTTTGCAGTCGCTGCTGAGTCTCCAGTCCAAAGTACTCTGTCTGGTGTCGATGCCAGAAGCTCAAAGGATACGGATACGATAGGTACTGTACACACGCGCGATCGAGCATATTGTGCTTGCACACGAGATGGACGTGCACAACTACGAGCTCGTGCGACTACAGGACCACGCAGTCTTGCCCGGCCGCGACGACGCCATGTACGTACTGCGAAATAGTATGACGTAGCATCGTCCACGTCTGTAGCACGCTGTACGAAGCGTACTTAACGAGCTTGTCGCTACCGCCTGTGGCGACGTCGTCGACGATTCTCCAATATTTGCCGTACGAGCTGGAAGCCAGCGCCACGACCGACGGCTTCTGGAACAACATTCAGTCGCACCTTCGGACCACCGGGTACTTGCACCCGGTGCTAAGCCGGTACTGGGCAGCGCGGCTCGTCGAGTGGTCGCCCTCCGTCACTGTGGCCCTTGCGGTAGGTTGACCAACCGGACAAGTTGAAAAGACTTGTTTGTGTAGACCATGGAGGCGCTCTTGTTTCGGTATGCCGTGGGCGCGACGAGCTGTGATGTGCTTGGACTCCTTCGCCTCTACGGCCACGACGCGGTGCTCACTGACAGCACCGAGAAGCTTGTGCAAAAGCAGCTGCAAGACGCTCTGAGCATTGTCGACGCCAACGGCCCGTAGCAAGAGAACGCGCACTAGCATCGTTCGCGTTCGAGTCTCCACGCGGGCCAATCCATAAGCGAGCATCTCAACTACGTAAACCTCGAGCAAAGAATGCGTTGGCAGGACGCAGCCCTTCTGCCTCCCGCGTCTTGAATGAGCGGCGCGGATGAATTTTCTCGAATATAGCACATGGGGTACGTGGCAGCGCCACGTGCTTGTAATTTTTTGGAAGTGCACCTTTTTTGTCACACATGCAGTGTGTGGCTCAAAGAAAGCGCAAAGGTACCCTTTTTTGTCTATGTATTGTTCATTTTGGAGAGGGAAATGGTTCATTTGAGAGAGGTTTACTGTCGCACCAGATTTTGACTGGTCGCCAGTATTCAAAACGAGCGCAACAGCAGAGGTCCCAGGTACCCTGCTGCTTAGACTAGATCGGCTACATTATCTAGAGTCTCTGGCTATCGCAACTCCTCCGTCGATGCGTCAGCGCTACCTGTAGCCTAGAGCAATATCAAGCGGTGTGCCACCAACGTCTTCTCTACGTTGGCTGATGCATCGAGAACTATGACATTTCCATACTTAGTACAAGTTTAGCATTCCACGTGGCCGAAGCGAGGGGTGATGAGTGAAACTCACCTGTCGGGGAGATCCACTGTTGTCCTGGCGCCCGCTTAATTGCGGGGCAACCCACCAGGAGCCGGTGCGTTCGCTGCACGAGACACTGCATTGATGCACGTCTGACCTCTATTTGCCGCCATTTTCGTACATTGCGTTTAGTTTCTACTTCGGAGAGGTGATGAGTGAAACTCACTTGTCGGGAAGATCCGCTGTTGTCCTGGCGCCCGCTTAATTGCGGGGCAACCCACCAGGAGCCGGTGCGGTCGCTGCACGAGAACTTGCTTAAAGCACGTCTGATCTCCGAATTTACTTGCATTTCTGCTGGATCCAAAAGTCCTTGTCGTGCGAACCATCGACTCGCTATGGTCCTTGAACAGACCGACTATTGAAACCAGCGATAGAAACTTGATCCTTCAGCTGTATCCACCTCTTCTTAGTGTGGTTGCGGTACCGTTTGTGGCTCAAACATTCATTTTGTAACGAAGTAGAAGGAATTTCCACCCCGCTATCGTGTTATCTGTTCTGGGCTCTCCATGCTCTTGTTCAGTTGTCAAACTCGGGGCACACGAACGAACTCGTATTATGTCTGACCGACTCGCCTCTCTGGTGTGCTTGGTCCTTATCGAGTCCTACATTCTCTTCAACGCAAGTCGATAGCAGCTACTAGCTCTAGTGCTCGAGTATAATCCAGTTCAATCTACTTGCCAACCAAATTATCAATTTCCGAGCCGCTCTTCCGTTGTTATACGCGCAAAATGTAGCATTTGTCGTTCATGAAGCCGAGTACGTTCGCGATCGATGCCATGCCGAGCATGGCGTCGTCTCCCACCGGCTTGGCCTGCGAGGCCGAAGATGTTACTACACTGTATTCCTAGACAGTACCTTGTCCAGCCTGAGGAGGATCTTCAAGAAGATACAATGTACGAGGAGGAAGCGTCGCTAGTGGCGACGGGTCTTGATGGCACTCGATAAACGCAGCCGAAGTGCACACCGCCGCGGCTGACTCATTCTCCGTGCGTCATGGGACGTGCGCCGTTCTGTTGGTGTCGATATGATGGACGACGTTGTTTACGGTTGCCCAGCTCAGCCCTATCGAATCGTTGGCCTGCTTTTGGACGCCAATGCTAACGCTCTTGACTGCTGTCGCCCGCAGCGACGTCATGCATGTTCTACGTTAGCACCATGCAGAATGAGCCACGATGGCCCTCACCATGGCCTCGATAGAGGCTTCTGGTTGGCGAATCAGCTCCTGCGCGCACATTGACGATCGTTTGTAGCGTTCATTGTCATCAACGCTTCGGTGTGCACTTGTTTCCAAAGGACTGCTTTGCGGCTTTTGTCGTATCGTCTTGGAGGCTTCGCTCCATCAAGATCAACATATGCAAGTGAGACCACCGAAAACTAGGTTGTCGCTGGGCGTGAATTCGCGCGTCGTCGTGGTGCCACGTCATTTTCAAGATTTTCTTTCGAAATTTTTGACATCTTCAATAAGACACTCGGCCAGCAATATGGATCTTACGTGGCTCGCAGAGGCAAGGGACGCGGTGCGTCAAAGCCAGGACTGGCGGCTCCTCCAGAACAGTATTTACACCCGCGTACAAACAGTCCTCAAGCAGCACAAGACCAAGGTTGTGCGTCACCGCGCATTCGAGTACATGTCTATCAACCTCGATAGTACTTTTCCGACCTTGGCGACGACGAACGGGCGCTTGTGATGGCGCAGGTCGAACTTCACGTGGCCGACGACGCGGCGCACAGCGGCTTCCTCCAACACATCACCAACGTTCTCGATCATGTAATACATGCTCCCTACTCCTGGGCGGTGTCGTCGCCACTAAATCATTCTAGCATCTCAGCAAAGCCGTCGAGAGTGCGTACGCTACGGCACCGGATAAGGCGACCAAGGTTCATCTTCCGTCCACCAAGTGCAGGAACCAAATTTGGTAGAAAACCTTGCTGCTCGATGCAGCCGCCGACGCCGCCGCGACCCTCGTCGTGGGGCTGCCCCCCGAGCAGCGCAGTTTGCTTCGTCTCCTTCTCAACACGCCCTTTCCGATTGCCTTTCGCCGCCACGTATGGCTGTTCCTGCTTCTCGTCTCATCGTCGCGTAGGCGTGGCAGCTTTTCTTATCGGACGCACCACTGCGGGTGCGGTACGACGCCGCTTGCGCATTGGACCGCGTCTCCACCATTTCGCTGCTGGACGCAGACATTACCGACACGTGCCACCGCATCCTCGAGGCGTCTTCGCCGCTAATGGAGACGACGACACCCCGCGAAACGTGGATGATCATGAAGACGGTTCTCTCGTATGCCCATGCGACAGGAGCTATCACCAACCCGCACGACGACGCAATGTACGCTCTCTGTGTACCTCTACTGCTGGTGTACGGCACGACTTCGGTCTCGGCCCTCGTGGAAGCCTACTGCGTCCTACTGCGTCTTCCGCGGCCGCGGCTACCAGACGCCGTATCATCGTGTCTGGACGCACTGCATCGCGTCCATCCACCACTCCATACCCACTTGGTCTCGGTTATGGGCCCGACCACGTCGCAGGTCGTTGAAACGATCGTTGGTAGTCGAATGAACCAACAAAAACGTAGGCGTGGCTACCGCTGCTGACTCCGTTTGTGGAGCAACTCTTTGTCGGCGTGGCCACCAAGAGCGTGCTGCTGTTTGTTTGGGACCAGCTCTTCCTCGTTGGGGCCGATCGACTCTTGCCCGACCTCGTCGCACTCGCGCTCGTTGCTCTCGAGTAAGCGTCGTGTGTGTGTTTAGTTGATGACGGGTTGCGTTGGCAGAGGTCCGTTGCTGCGTGCGCAGTCGCTCGATGACGTGCTGCGCGCCGTGCACCAACCGGTCTATTGCCGCCACGAACGCCATGCTCTGATACCTTGTGCATAGACGCTGCAAGTCTCGACACTGCAAGAGCTTCTCGAGACATTTAGTCTTCCCACCATCCGGCAGGACCTGCAGTTGATCAAAGAGACCGACTTTTTCAAGGTCGTTTTCGTCGTTTACAGTGCTGGCTCACGAGTCCGACCTAGCCGGCACTTGAGAGCCCTGCACCCGTCGTTGAGGCGCCCAGCGTCGAGCTCGATGCCACGAATGCACTCACACCGCTCTTGCTGGACGTTGCCAAGACGCTATGTGGAGGTCGCGACGGATGCTGTGGTGGCGCTGATGCCTCGAATTAGTCTATACCCGCGATGCCGACTACGACAAACGCGGCCACCAAGAGCAGACCACGCACGCTGACAATGCCAATGCGTTTCGACCACTGCTACGCCAAGTGGCGCAGACGCTTTCAGGAGGTAAGATACAAGTTGTCTCGCGTAGTATCGACAAGCTGCTGCTAGTGTTTACATCCAGCGATGACATCTTTGGTCGTCAGGCCGTCGCCGACGAAACCCGGCAGCGCGACCTCGTGGCGCAGAGCCAAAAGACAGCATTTGGCCGGTAGACAGCCCCTGGAAGGTGGCTTTAATGCAATGTGAATGCCTTAGGACATACACCCCGAACGAGATTGGCCAGCTCAGTGGAAAAGCCAAAGCAGCGTACGAAAAGCGACTGCCCAAGGTGCGCTTTGTGTTTGGTATTTTCGTGCACAGAAGAAGACGATCGATGATGGCTAGTTTCACGCAGCGTACGCAGCGCTCAACCAGCGGTCGTAGAGGCTGTCTACTCGGCTGGCAGCGTTTCGCTCGAGGACAAGCGACGAGCATTGACTCCTTCGTTGCGCATTGCACGCTTCTTCGGGGGCTCTAGTCCACGTACCATAAGACGACTTTTCCAACCGCATGGGCTAGGATAAATGGGGTGTACTGGCACGAGGCGGGCTGGCGCCTTGGCTTTTGTCGACTTTTTGGCGGCGTCGCGTTGTTCGCGAGAAAGTGAGACGCGAGATCGATCGCGCAGAAGTTTATTGGCTTGGATGCGTCGACGCACGAGGACGCCGCGAATGACTTTTTGAATCAGTGTCGCGGCGGCGGCGCGGACGCGGTTGGCCCGCTGCAGCATCTCTTGCCGGCGCTCTTCGCGCGCTTTCCGGCGGCGCGCGAGCTCGCGCTTGGCAGCTTGACGTTGCAGAAACAACCGAACGCGCCGCTGAATGACGGCCGCCGCGTCGTCCCAACGCCGTTGCTACCACAATCTCGGACGTGACGTGCTTGCAATGGAGGAGACGCTACTTTGATGCGCTGAAGCTGGCACTTGGCGTCGTAGATTTGCATTTGGGACCGACAAAACAACTACAAACGGTCCATAATTCGATCCCGACGGAAGGAAGAAAGGGCGCACTTGGATGCGCGTGGCCGCCGCGTTCTGAAGAGCAAGGTGCTGTCGCCAGAGGCGATTGCGTGTGAGCATGCCGCGTGCATAGCGCTGAATCGTTGTCGCCGCCGCCGCTTGCTCGAGCATCTCCAGTCGACGCTTCTCGCGGAGCTCGCGGCGAATTTCGCGCTTGAAGCTCAGTTGCTATTGACATATAAGACATCATTGTACATGTCGACATGGCGATGGACCAGCTGCTTTTCGTCGTATTTGTCTTTGGTGCGGACCTTGCGCTCGGCTTGGAGACGGTCGCTCAGAACCAGTCGCTTCTTTCTAGCACACGCACATGACAATATTGTGTCTGCGAGGCGAGCGTACTTCATGTCGAGGGACCCGAGGCTCGAGTCGGTGAACGGGCCTTCGATAAACGTGCTTGTAAAGTCCATGTGCTTGGCCAACGGCCGCTTCGCGGGGCTCAAATGCAACCCGAGATCCTGATAGTCGACAACGCGCCCATAGTCAAAGCTACGAAAAGCCTGTGCAACTCCAATGTCGACAACGATGACGAACCCGCTCGTCTGGAAGAGCGGGTGGATGTTGCGGCGCTGCTGCGCGAGCTTGCCGACGGACGCCGCCGCATTGCTCTGGTGCGGCGACGCCTGTAGCCGCGGCAGGTGCACGCTGCTCGCCTGGTTGAGCGACGGCCGCGCGAGGCCATACGTGTTGAGCGACAGCATCGGCTCTCGGGCAAACCAGCCACGTCCGCCAAAAATAGGTCGTCGGAAACGCTGCTGTAATGGGGCTTTGCCACGTCACGAACGGCGCTCGCTGCTGGACACACCGAACAGTACAGTCATGAGCGAAGAGGATGTTGGGAGGAAATCGTCGTCGACGAGCCTTCTGGGGACCCAATCGAGAACGTTTGCGCCAGCCCCAGCTCTTGCTTGCGTTTACATGGCGTCGTTAGCGACGCGGACAACGGACAAAGGAGCCAACAAGGAGAATGTCTCTACAGCCGACGCGATCACATACAGTGTAGTAAACCGTTTGCGGGACACATCCACCAAAGCCGCTTCGGCGAGGGGATGCTGCAGCATGGCCCTTTGGCCAAATCGTCAACGCGAGGTGCAGGTCCTCATACTGTACTGCACAGTACCGTAGTGTGCAGAGTGCGTCACGCTGCTACTATAGCTTCAAGATCGTGCGTCGGCCCGCTTGAAGGCCTGCTTGAAGTCCACTTTTTGTGGAAAGTATTGTCTATTTCATTTCTTTTGAATGCGACAGGCCAGGGACATCTGCACTCGCTCGGTCCTCCGTCAACTCTTCCGTCGACAAGAATGCTAGCAACCGGTAGACTCAATTCTGCACTGTCAACACCTTCCTATGACCTATCTCTTGCTTCGTTCATTGCTTCAAGTACCGGTATGCAGGCACACGATTTCACCAAACGAGCCACTCGGGCCCCGACGCGTCATGCGACACCGACTTTAGCTGGACCAACGAGTCGAGAGTACATCAACGCGAGCAATCAGAGCTTATCCGAGTGGTCGTTGCTCGCGTCGTTGCGCCAAGTCGGGCCAGTGATTATGCAATTGCTCTTCCGCGAGGGGACCGCGATGCCTATCAACGCAAGTGCAAAGTCAAACGGCAAACTCGCCCGACACGGGCAAACTCAAATTTCAACCTCCAACCGCATCGAGTCTCGAAATATCAGATGTGCATGTGGCAACTTTTGTGGAGCCCGCGATAGTTGAATCGCCAAGCGCCTTTTTATATTCAAAATGGCTTTGGTAATCTATGGCGAACGGGAAAAGTTCAGCGATGGTAACAACAGGTGGCAGTGGATGGCGCGCCCCATTTCTAATTGATGACGCGGTAGCAGCATGCACACCCTCATCGACGCCCGTCGGCTCGACGAGCCGTCCCCTGCGCCGTCGCATGCGAGCGAAAGCGGCTTCTCCTTTTGTGCAGTCGGCCAGCGACGCGCTGCCGTCGCCGTCGCCGTGGTGGTGCTGCCGCAGCGTCTCGCTCAGCGAGCTGCTCGCGATCGCGTTCATCGTAATACTCTGCCTCGTCGTCGCTATCCTCGCGGCCATCGGCATGTACGTCGGCACGGCCAACGAGTCGCACACGACCGTCCAGCACGACCACATCATGGCGCCGTTCAGCATCCCGACGGCTTGCCGCGCGCTCTCGCTCATCTCGCTCGCCATCATCGTCGTCGCCTACATGCTCAAGCCGTCCGTGCGGTCGACGTCCATACCCCTCGTGCTGCCGCTCATGCTCTCGCAAGGCGGGTACCTCGTCTCGCGGCTCTACATTGCCGTGAGCAAAACGTTCTCGGGCCAATCGATCTTCAAACTGGGCACGCCGTTGATCTGGTACTGCGGCGAGGTCTCGAGCACGCTGACGACCACCATGAATCTCATGCAAATCTTCTTCACCGTCGCGATCACGTACCGCCTGTACCGGTCCGTCGCCGCGCCGCCCGAGCTGCTCGTCGATACCAAGGTCCATGCCCGGTCGACGTGTCGGCTCATTCTATGCGCGTTTTTGCTGTCGCTGACCCTTGCGCTCACCGTGACCTTCTCGACGATACCGAGCATGGACCCAGACTTTGAAGCGTGGGCCAAGCTCGTCGAAGGCAACTCGATGACGACACCGCCGCGCTACAGCCCGTGGACGTGCATGAGCACCGAGACGCAGACGCTCAACAACCTGTACGCGCCGTTCATCGGTTTGGGGCTCGTGACCTTCTTGGCCTTTCGCATCAAGGCCAAAGTCCAGGGACTGTACCCGACGCACGCGCGGCGGAGCATCAAGTCGGTCGCCAACTACTACATTGGCGTGTACGTGCTCACGTGGGGCGGTTCCCTCTTTGTGTATGCGGTTCTGATCGTGTCGCACCAAACCCCCGGGTGGTCCCCGCCCAACGGCGTGCCGACCAACGACGAGAACGACCGCCTCGCCCGCGTCATGCGTGTCTCGCTGGCGTTCATTCCGTACGACCTCCAAGGCTTCCTCACGTGCGTCGTGACGATCTGGAGCTTCTTCCGCATCCGGTGGCGCTTCGATCTGGGCCTTTCCCTCAAAGCGATCCGACCCACTTCGATCGAGTTTGACGAACCGCTCGAGGTCCTCGGCCAAGGCGCCTTCGCCATCGTCGTCAAGGCGATGTGGTACCCGTCCCGGACGGCCGAGCACTGGTACTGCTGTCACTGTCGCAAGAGCAGCACGTCATCGTCGTCGCTGCTACCGACGACGGCCGCCGACGGGATTCCTGTCGCCGTCAAGACGTTTCGATTTGAGCGCGACTCGACACACGTGACGCTTAACGGCGTCCAAGAAGAAGCGTACCTCGCGTCGCAGCTCGTGCACCCGAATGTGATGGCCACGTACGGCTGCTACACGTCGGGCAGTCACCTCTACTTGGTCTGCGAATACCTTGGCGGCGGCACGCTTCAAGACGTCTTGGCACCCGACCTCCCGTATGTGCAAGTGCTGCAGTACGCGCTCATGATTGCATCGGGCATGGCCTTTCTGCACACGCTCGACGTTCCCGTCATCCACCGGTACGTCGGTTGGCTCTAGGGCTAGGGTAGGGCTCGGTTTCACGAGGTTTTAGGGATCTCAAGCCGCTCAACTGCGTGTTTGACCAGACCCGCAGCGTGCTCAAGCTCGTGGACTTTGGCTTGTCGCGGCTCTTTCATGAAGACGAAGTCGAGCGCAAGCTCGAGTCGATCACGCAGCTCTCGCCGCACTCGCAGCGCGCGACGTTCTCGGCCAGCCGCAGCAACCTCGTGTCGCTCCTCGGCCACCACTCGGAGGAGGTCGTGAGCCTCACGATGACGTCCCGCGTCGGCACCGTGTGCTGGGCCGCGCCCGAGCTGCTCGTCGACCAAGAGCTCTCGACCTACTCGCTCAAAGTGGACGTCTACAGCTTTGGTATCATTTGCTGGCAGCTCATGACGGGTCGCCAGCCGTACGACGACATTCCGGGCAGCGCGCTCGCGGTCGAGGAAGCGGTTATTCGCGGGTCCGGCCCGCCATTCCCGAGTCGTGCCCGCCGCACTTTGCGAAGCTCATGCGCTTCGCATGGCACAGCAACCCGCATCGCCGGCCGTCGTTTCCGTACATTGTCAAGCTCCTCAACGCCGAACTCGACATGGTCACAAGCGGCAGCTGGTCCTCGGCGTCGTAGCCGGCTTCCACTCTTATTTATCTCTGTCCTGTTTTCTTGTACTACGAGGTTGCTTTGTAAGAAACGATCCATCCGAATGTGTCGTGCATGTCGCATTTTGAGGTGCGAGCGAGATGGAGAGAGGGCTAGGGTAGGGCTCGGGTCGACGATCGAGTGCCAACCAAGGATGCCAGGGCCCAAGACATACCGAGTACAGAACGTCGTATCAACAACGCGGAGGACTTGGGAAAAGACCACGTCGCAAGCAAATGCATACATTCATAGTATAGAGCGACGCCGGGCTACTGCTTCTTCGCCTTCTTCGACAGTGTCTTGGCCGCCGGGCCTTCGTGGCTGGTCTTGCGCTTCGCGGCGCTGGATCCCGCTTCCTCGATCACAGACGCGGTACTCGCTGCGGCCGGGAGCTCTTCCATCGCTTCCGCGCCGTCGTCTTCCACCAGTTCAGCCGCTTGCGTCTAGCAGCATG